AATTTAGTTTATATTTAAATTTTATCTAATATAAAATATCTATACATATCATATATGTATTTCTATTGGATTGTAAATAATTTAAATTAATTTTAATCTAATTAAAATTATAAATTATTATATTAATAATCTTAATAGATTCCAAAATCCTAATCGTATTAGAACTTGAACTAAAAGATTTAAAATTAGAACTCGTATCAAAGGAAAATAATTCTTATACTGGGTCGAACGCACGAGGAACAGCACCCATACTAATTCACTCACAAGATACAAGATGCATATATATTATTTATTTAAAAATCAAGCAGTCGTGTATTACCATAATACGTCCTACGTTCAAATCCAATATATGCACAAACTTTATATCTATGGCATTCACATGTTACTAAATGACAAATACGTATTTCTCCGATTACTATAGTAACGATTTTGTACATATATCAATTATGACAAGCACTATCACGCGAACATATAAATTCTGTGAATTACTAATCAAATTATAACTATTAGAATTATTATATGTCAGAAATTCGACGAACGTACTGATTTAATTAAAATCATAAAACTCATGGTTTAATCAAATCAATATTCACACAAACATGTTTCATTAAATTTCATAAATTCAAACATGTTTAAACCAATCAAATTAACATGTATATCTCATATATATGCCAGATTCAAAATCAGTATTAAGCAAGTTTGCTCTGCTACCACTGTCGGAATTCATACCGGTTTATAACGATTTATAAAACTAATTATGAATTTAATTTCCAAGATCTCAAGCAAATACTAAATTGAATCTAGGTCATCAGATTTAGAGTATACCTGCAGCGGAAAGATAAATAGAAAACAAATTTATGTAGTATTCCAAACGTCGTGCCACTACCAGTATCCACACGCACACAAACTAGATCAGGACGGGATGCTAGTGCCGTATAGATCAGATCTTGACAAAACAGTTTTGCCTCTTAATTATGTTTAGGATTTTATTGCAGGAAGGAGAGCGTCAACTAAGGCCACGTTTTCTCATTATATAATGATTACACGTTTGACCTAATACACTTAATTAATGGGCCAAACCCAATAACTCAACTTCTCAATAACGTGTATCTCTATATATGTCTATATCATATATATACGACATACATATATTAAACTTTCCTTTATTTGTTCTTTGTATAAATGTTAAGTAATATCTTATATAACTTATATATTACATTATTACATTTCGAAACCCAACATATAATCGATCTAGTTGCTTAGGTGTGTGACCATGTAGGATCGTATAACATTAGTAACAGATTCACAATCCGTAGATTACAAGCGGCTTCTAGCAAAACATTATAACCATCTAATATTATACGATTGTCAAACTTTGACGTTACGATTTTAACTAGAAAAGTACGGATGATTTTGGGACATTCCCAACAGATACTTGCTAACAAAATCAAAACTCTATGCGACTAAGCTCATGAATCGAAGCCCGTTCACGTATTTTGAAGCAATTCCTTTATTTGTGGCCAAAGTCTCCTTCCTATTTTTAAATTGTGATTGATGTGGGATACTGTTTTTAATATAGTTGGTCTTTGGACTCTATAACAATTAATATTTGCTAAGATGTCAAGGTCATTGACGAGTAATAACAATTAATATTTGGGCTCTATAACAATTCAGTTTTTTCGACCATTTGGGCTTTGTAAGCCTCCAATATCTATAATGAGGAAAGAAAACAAAAAATTGGAAGAAAAATAATCAAGTCGTGTGGGGTTTCGGGTTTTGTGAAGGGTTTCATCGCCATCGGTTTTGGATCCGGGTTTTTTTACCACTGTTGTGTTATACATTATGCCGTTCACATTTCCAACAACGTCGTAGATAATGTAATTTAAGCATATGGTTTAGAGTTGAGGATATAAAGTGGGCAAAAAAAAAAAAATATAGTTTGGGTATTATTCTGAATGCATAAATAGTTTGGATATTGAATAGTAGTTTATCGTAATTTAGTTGGTATCCGCATATCCACACACCATGCCGTTTTAGATTGAAAAACGACAACCATTTTTCTCAAATCCTGGGCCCATGCATGTAAACAAGCAAACCATTCTCTACCGGAGGATCTAATCCCGTTTTACGATCGAAGGGTCATAAACAAGCAAACCATTCTCTACGCTGACTATTTGTATTCTTTTTCCTGGTTGCTGAGTTGATTCAATAAATTTTAATCCGGACTTGGAAGGAAAAAACTCAATATAGGAAAAGTAAACTTGATATTAAATATCTAACTACGTGAACGACACCAATTTTATTTTATTAAGCATAACCTTTAATTCGTATTACATAACATTATAACTTCAAGTGTTGCAAAGATACACTCTTAATGACTTTAAATTCACTTCTTAAAACTTGGCCTCAAGGTCTTTGACGACATTGACATCTAACTGGAACGCCTGAGCAAAAACCTCTGGATTAATTAGAGGGTGTGATCCAAACACAGTTTTTGCGATTGTGATGACACCAGCGTTCTGGCTACTCAGTCCTGCAAAGGCCACTGCAGGGGTTTTGCCGATATTCACCTGAAAATGGATCTGTCCAATGGGAAAGACAAAAACGTCGTCTGGATGCAATACTTTGGCAAATAAACGGTTGTTGCCTTGGTTGGAAGAGACAAAACCAACGTATAATGTTCTCTCGATAAGGACAAGGATCTCAGTGGCACGAGGGTGCGTGTGAGGCGGATTTTGTCCATATGGTGCATAGTCTATGCGAACCAAGGATATTCACATGGTGTTCAGCCCTGGAATCTGATCAACATTGACTGTTGTCACATTGGATTTGACGTCATTATCAGTGTTTCCGGTCTTATTGAGACCTGAGTAGAAGAAATCATCTGCCTTGGCTTGCGTTGGATCCTTACAGAACTTACCATTCACGAAAACTGCACCTATATATCGTTTCAAAGCTTATGTTATCACATAGAGTATACACATACTTATGGCCAGATAATTAAAAAGTGAGTTAAGAAACCGGGTTTTTTATACGTACCACCATTTTTTATGTCATCAATTGCCACACAGAAGTCTTGGAGTGGACTTGGATCATAAGCTTTGGCAAAGGAAATGACCAAAGCCAATAAGGTAATCAAGATGAGAGACAAGGAAACCATCATTTTCAAACAAAAGGTTTTGCTAAAGCTTTTTTAGAGTGTTTATATGTGAATTGTTAAGCATTTGAGCTCAGTTTTTATAAGGCAAGAGCGCTTGTCATATTTGACATTGTCCGAATTCGTTCTATATATTTATATTTTGTATGTTTCAAAGTGGCAGTTCAGAAACGTTTAACAAGTCAATCGATAACTAATCTATTTAACTGGAAGTGGATTTGTGACTACATAATAATTTACATAGCATCATGATTAAAGTTTGTATGTTTTCTGATTTGTAATGTTATATCTCAATTTCGGTACTAATATATGATTTTCGATGGCTTGATAATCACTAATTTTATCTAATATCACGTTATAACTGAAAATAATTAAACTGATTATTAGCTGTCATCTATTAAAAACTTGCCATCCAAAATTATAAAACACGTACGTACAAATGAACATTGTCCTAAATACTTTACTATATATAGCAGATACTGAGATATAATAGATATTTTGACAGATACAGCAAAATCAAACGCATGCAAGTATGCGTTGAGTCGATGACCAAAGAATGAAAACTTATGATGACGTAATTGCTTAACAGATTTACGGTCGACCATGCACGTCGGTTTATGACGAAAGCAGATTTATGATTGTGTTTTGCAAATACGTTATGAATATTAATATATACGGCACATTTACAGAAGACTTCCTTAATGCTTTGATCATTTGATGGGCATATTTACAAATTACAACAAACACAAACAAGTCTTCTATGTAAAAAATTCTGCTTATTTTCAATATAGAATGGTATTCGTATCGTTAGAATTAAAAGAGGTTGTTTAGGTAAGCAAATGTTTAGGTGCGCATTAGTTATCGTGGTTATTTTCAAAATTCATTGGTCTATTTGGAATGGTTATCTTGTCTTTTATTAATGTAAAGACTAATTCAATGTAGGAAAAGTAAAATTTATTATTAATATATAGCAAATTACGGAAAAAAACAAAACATCATTTAGTTGGTGAAACAAAGCATCACAGTCTTGAACCATAAAAAATACAAAACAAAAACAAAAATAGTAACTATATTTCTAACATGTTTGAAAGTCTCATAGATATCAACCATATCAATTTCTGCGTGTATCTTCTTTCTACAAGACGCGCTTTGTACAACCCATTATTCCAGAATCCAGATGATACTAGGTTATATTCATCTATTGTGAACACGTGTCAATCATTAAAAATAAAGAATTTTTGTCGAAGCTATGAATATTAGTTTGTCGAATAAAGGGTATATATATAGGAAATATTAGAATGTAGAAGTTAAGTCATTTTCGTTAATAGCATGGATATATATAATTATGAGAAAATGACAAAAGTTTAAAAAAAAAAATTATTTTGATGTTTAACTTTTTTATTAAAATTAAATCCGAAACTCTTTTGATAAAAATGACATGTTACACTAAAAAATCACTTGCCACAGTTAAATTGATGGGCAATATTATTATCCAGAAAATATTTGTTGTCAGATCAATGTTATTATCTTAATAATTTCTGTATAATTCATATAAATATTTCTAATGACTCTAGTTAATTCTAAAAGACTAAAACGTGTTCCCTTTATAGTAATAAGATAAAATCTTAAGATTTTAATTATTTTTAAAAAAAAATTAATCATTGAGTGTATCATAACTATATTTAGATATTATATATGATTAATTAAATGAATTCAGATATCATATTAAATAAAAGTATTGTATTTCGTAAATTTAGGCTTATAAAATGCGTCGTTCTCCTTGCAATGATAAAAAAAAAACTCTAACAACTTCTCGAGATAGTTTTTAGTTTCCGTACTCGTTCCCCACCGCATCCAGACCGACTTACCTTTTCATTATATCTGCGATTCTTCTTCTTCTTCTTCTTCTGCCAATTTCTTCTCAGATCTACTCAGGTATGGTTGTTTATTTCCTCAGCTTTGCTTTTCTTCTTTCTTATCTTCTCCTCACCTTTCTTTTGCAAGCACCACCGCCACGCTACCTGAGCTCCTCTGCCGTCAACCAAGAGACCCTAATAGCCTCCGATCCTACACTCTTTCGGTTAGTCTTCTGCACACAACAAATTTCCCTACATATTTTTTTGTTGGTTCACGTTTTTTACGAAATTAAATTTTGACCGACACTAGGTGAATTCTTATAGCTTGTTGTAATTATCTTAGTTTTTGTTATGTTCTTACTAATTTTTCATGTTTTATGAAAATTAAATTTGACCGAAACAAGTTGAATTCTTATAGCTTGTTGTTATTATCTTAATTTCTGTTATGTTCTTACTTCTTGTGATATCGTTACTTCATATTGTTCCAAGAAGTAGACGAAGATAAAAAAAAAAAATAGAGTGTGATACTTTTTTATTACTAAGGATTCATTTAAAATGCTAAATGTAGAATTTTTTTTCCGATTACTTGCTTACTTGATAATTGATTTTTTTTCATGTTCGTTTTTTTTGGCCTTTTCCTGGAAAAATATTTCCAGATACTTTTCTCATTTTTTGTTAGGCCGTAAATGAAAAAAAATAAGTGTATTTTTACTTTCAGCAAAATGCTTTCCGCTACATCAAATGCACATGAAGTCGAAATTTCTCAGAAAGTTCAGGAGACATTTGGTGAAGATAGAATTAGTTTGCTACCCGACGATTTGTTAGTACACATCCTGATGTTTGTTCCGACAAAAGATGTTGTGGCCACCATGATTTTGTCGAAACGATGGCGAACTATCTGGACGGTGGTGCCAAGACTCGAGTTTGAAGACATCTGGGGAAGTACTAATGGTAAGCATGAGAGCATTTGGTGGTTTCTTGACAAGTCGTTGCAACTCCACAAGGCACCTTTACTAGAAAGCTTGTGTATCCGACTTGGTCAAAAATGTCCTACTGATGTTGATGTTACAAAATGGGTTGCAAGCGCAGTTGATCGTTACGTGCGCAAGTTACGGTTTGATCTTAGGTGGTCCGCGAAACCTACCAGCATGCCTAACAGCCTTTACACTTGTAAAACGCTCAATGAATTGAAACTCTCTAATAAGATTCTCCTGGATGTTCCTCCTTCAGTTTGCCTCCCATCCGTTACAAAGCTTTACCTTTGTGATGTGGTGTATAAAGATGAAGTTTCTTTTGTTAGGCTTCTATCAAGCTGTCCTATTCTAAGAGATTTGCTTGTGATCCGATGTAAAGAAGACGACAATGTGAAAGTGTACAGAGTGAAAGTGCCTTCTTTAGAGGAGTTCAGCTACACTAATGATAGGCCATTATCACATGGCAATGATGTAGGGGAAATCGCTCGGTCCGTTGTCTTAGATTGTCCGGCATTAAGGCAACTCTATATTTATGATTCTTCAGGAGACTCTTATTGTATCGAGAATATGCCTTGCATTGTGCGAGCTGGTATTGACATCTTTTTTGCCTACCCTGATAAAAAGTTTCTGAGATATCTTTCGGCGGCCACGTCTCTATCTTTGACTTTGACCCATGGATTGGTAGTAATTTCGAGCTCCCACTATATTGTTTGTTTGTTGTGGTAACGTTAATATGTCAATTTATGGTGTTGGGTGCATTACAGGTTATGTGTAGACCCGACAACTTCTCTCAGCTTGTAGATCTTATGATATCGCCATTTTACTCAGACTGGTTGGAACAACTTATGCTTATGCTAAAAAATAATCCTAAACTTAAAAGTCTTACGATCGATGTAAGTTCCATCCTTCCTCCACTAAACAAGTGCATGCAATTTCAATGGACTAACACTAAACATAGCGTGTGTATTGCATTGTGATGTTTTCAGGATGACCATAATATCCCACTTTTGTGGAACAAACCGGATCATGTTCCCGAATGTTTGGCATCCCATCTTGAGTGCTTTAAGTGGCTATCATATAAAGGAAAAGACGAAGAAAAATAATTTGCAGCATATATCCTAGCAAACTCGAAGTGTTTAAAGAAAGCGGATTTCCTCCTCGATTGCGACAGTTTGAAAGAGGAAATGAAAATAGGCGAAGAGTTAGATTCTTTGTTTAAGGTTTCACCATCATGTCGATTGCGCTTTTGAGAAAAAATCTATCAAATATACAGTATTCTTAAACTCAATAATAATATGGTTCATTTGATAAAATTTTCTCTGATGTAAATGGTTCAAGTTTTTTTCTTCGAAAGCTATATGTAAAAAAATGTATGATTTTGAATGTGATCTAACTAGACTATCTTATTATTTTATTTTTTTACGTCAATTTCATTTATAAGCCCAACAAAGCAAAATAACATACAACACAGTGATAAAAGCTCAAATAAAAAGAATACATTTAAGCCCAATATGAGCCTCATTAATTCCTTATGCCACGTGTTTTTGCACTCATCAAATTTTCTACACGTTGAAAACACGTATAAGATGCAAGGAATATCTGTGTTGCTGCTCTGCCTTATCGTCGCTGGACGAAATTCCGGTCAACGCATACACTGTTAACCACCACACAAGCTTGTTGCTTCACCTTGACACGCTCCTCCGATTAGATCCGTTGAAGTTTTTTGGTCGGAAATTTCCTTTCTTCATAGATTAATGCTGATCAGCAGAACTCAAGCCTAAACGTCATCTTATACCTTAGAAAAGGCTTCTAAAAAGGGACAAATGGAGATCTCTGCTCCCAGGCGAAGAGTGGATGATACCAAAGCATGAAGAATGATAATAATCCCGACATAACCACCAGACCTGAAAGCACCGTCTGGATAGAAGAGAAACCGTCAGCAAAGAAGATGGGCAAACTAATCCGGTCAAAGCCGGAACTTTATTATCCGATCAAACTCGGAAATTAGCTATCCAATCTATACGGAAAAAAACTCCGATCAAACGATAGAAATATGAGAGAAAAAATTTCCACTTGAAAATGTAAGAGTAGTAATACGAGAACTAACACAATACAGGGATTTTTCTCTTCAAAGATATTTCACTAGTAAATCTGTTTGTAACTTATAAGTATACAGAATCCAATTTAAAACAACCTCAAGACACACCTTGATTTGCTATACTAGTCTGACTTGTTCTTGAATCGATACGTGATTCAAGAATCTTTCACCCAAATCTCTTAACACCCTAGCTCACAAAAATTCTCACAGATTTTCGCTCATCCTTTGCTAAGTATTCTCTCGGTTGTGTTAAAACCCTACACAGCTCTAACACGCCTATTTATACTCAATAGGACTTGCGGCTGATCCTCGCCTAGATTCTCCTTCAGATTACACCAAATCTTCATGAGAATCTTCACCTTCCTTATCTTCTCCTAAGATAGAGGAAACTTGATATTTTCTTCATAGATCCTCCAAGATACTCCAAGCTTCCTATCCACGTCAGCTTCTCGTGTCTTGAAGTGTCCAGCACGTCCTGCAGCTCCAGCTCAGCTTCCAGCTCACCTCCACGTGTGTAGATTGCTACGCAAGTCTTCCCGTGTTAGTTCCAGAGCTAGTCGGACTGCTACACGTGCTGCTTCAGCCTTGTTTGCATCTTCAATCTCCCCCTTTTTAGCATATGTGCTCCACAAGTACCTGTTCAGGAAATCAAGACCAAACAAGCAACAACCAACACACCACATGCCACACACAATTCTGGGAATGATTCCAAAAGATTCCGATTAACCAAAAGAAACTCCAAGAAACCAATGGAGTGTCAAGTCTTAACATAAACGAGTTCAAGGAGTTAAGAAATAAAACACAAACACAATGTCTTAAATAAAATTCTCCTTACTCCCCCAGAATTCTAAAACCCCCAAAATAAAACCCAAAAAAAACTCCCCCATAGTTCATGCATCCACCGATTTCAATCTTCTCCCCCTGCTTGTGAGCACAGATGTTAAAAACAATCGATGAGCAAACATAATTCGAAGGTTTAGATAGGGTCTAAGCGGGTTTACCTGTGACTGCAGCGCGCAGCATGGCCGTTACTACCCCGAGTTGCTCAAGAACTGATGCCACATCTTCAAGGGCTGTCCTGATTCCCTCTGCATCAGCTGGTGCTTCAGGCACTCGAATCACTCCCAGAGTCACGTTGTTGACTCCTCCGGTTGGCGTGTTTGACTGGGCAGCGGTTGATGGACGCGGACTCGAGGTTGAGGGATGCGATGTCGAGGCAACTCCAGTCCTCTTTCTTGCCTCTTTCTTTCGTTTCTCCTTGGCCTTTTCCTCAGTGACAGCAGCAGCAGCTTCCTTCTTGAGAAACGTTTCCCCACTTCGTGGACCTTCTTGTATTTGGTCGGAAAGATCCACATTTCACCTTCTTCGAGCTGCAGAATGAGCTGCGTCTTGATGACCTTGCTGATGAGATAGGAAAACATCAACCAGCGTCTATCCCCCTTGATGACCTTGCCCAGATCAAGCATCTGCTGGAAAATCATCCGCCCAATGTCAACGTTGATTCCGTGCGCCAGCTTATAGACCAACCTCGCCCGTTCCTCAGAGATGTGGTGCTTGTTCATCGAAGGGACCCAGTTGTATGATGCGATGACCATCAGTGCAGCTATCCGTGGAGGAAAATCTCTCGAGGATAAATCAGCCCATGTAGACTGATGCCCTTGTGACAGGTATCTTGATACCTCAGAGATTGGCACAAGATCTGCCTCAGCCTCCTCTTTCCTTTCAGCTTCAGTCAGAGGCTCGCGGCGTAAGGTCTCATTGATGATCCCTGGAGAAATTCTGACTTTGGCTCCTCTGATTCTTACCACAAACACCTGAGATGGATCACTCAGCGACTCTGGAGGTAGCCCTGCATAGAACTCACGCACCACCTTGCTCATGTATGACTCGAGTTCTGTCACCGTCCACTGCATTCCGCTCTCACGAAGTACCTCAAGGTACTTCCATTCATCCTCTTCGTCCACATCTACAACTCGTTCACTCCAGATGTGATGATCCTTCAACACCTGGAATCGTTCATCAGACTCCACCCTCTTTTTGCTCCTGAGGTTGGACTTCTTCTTTTTCTGCTTGACATGACTCGACTCAGGTTTTGGGCAGAGAGCGGCAGGGGTTGATTCAGCTCTTGGTCCTGAGGTTTCAGCGGATGTGGTTCTCTTCTTTTCTTTCCGAGCTCGCTTGCCAGCCGGGACCGTCACCATCGCCAGACTCCGCTTCCTTTGACCTCGTCGATTTGCTCCTGAACCGACATCTCCTCTGGCCGCTCATCTGTCTCAGATGGCAGACCTCTTTCTTCTTCATTCTCAGGCACCACGTTTTCATTGTCATCAGGATCAGCCTCTATTCGGGTCTCCGATGCAGCTTCTTTATCCTCCCTCAGTTGATCGGCACCTTGTGTTTCAGTTTCTGCTCGAGGGCTTTCTTTGTTTTCTGCCTCGGGCTCATTCACACCATCGTGTTCTTCTTCTTGTGCCATCGATTCAACCTGAGCTTCCACGGGAACGGGAAATTCTTCTCCAAGATCCTCCGGTGATTTGGCTGCTGAGTCTCCGCCTTCATCTGCAGTGGTGAAGGATTCACTCTCGCTGCCGGTCCCCTTTCCTGTTCCGGACTTCTCTTCGCTCTGAATCACCGGTGGATTCTGTTCTTCACCACTCGATCCATTGATTAGGTGAGGAGACGAAGCATCACCTGTTGCATGTGCCATCTTTGACTTTGATTTCTTTCCAATGATCCCTCTTCGTGTTGCAGACACCATTTTATTCACCGATCTGGACCAAGATGCTTTGAATTGAATCACACAAATTCTCTGCACCTAGGGTTTTTTGAACAGTTCGATGTAGCGTCTCTTCCTCTTCCTCTCCCGCAAATATAGCAACATCGCTTCGATTTCCCTCTCCTTATTTGATTTCCCTTTTTCCTCATGGGCTGCTGTTGGGCCTGTCTACATGAGCATCATTTGTCCACGGCCCACTTCCTGTTTAATCATGACAAGTCTTTTTCTAGCACAAGAACATTCATTAGTACATCACAAGGAACACGACAGTCATTGACACATTTAAACCGAAGAATTTTGTGATGGCTAACAAAAAATAGTAATCGTTCACCTCATCACACCTCAACTAGCTTTTGAAAACAGTTTTCTTTTGCTTATTCACCCAGATTCACAGATGACACATAAGCTGATTCAGCACATGACTCGAATGATCACACCACTTCTTCTTGATTCTTTGTGCCTTGCCAGATTTGATACTGAGACTAGCTTTCACACTACCTTGTCTTTATCATGCTCTTCACCAGTTTTCAACCTTTATTCAGCAAGAGAGAACCTTAGGTACTTGTCACAGTGTATTTTTTATTTGATACACTGTGACTTGGCAGCTTCCTTTCTTTTTCTGCCTTGGGTTTTTCCTTTGAGCTTTGGACAGGTCTTCTTTTTGATGTAAGACCTATCTCTGAACTATAGATCATCCTGTAGCTCAGTCTTATCATTGTGATTTCTCAAAGACCGACTTACATTGCTTTCAGGCTGTTTGGTTCTCTCTGTGAAACCTGTACTGATGTCAAGTCATGACGACAAGATAGGTAGCTCTTTTTCTCCGACCTTTAACCTTCAAGGCTGAATCGAAACGTTATGATCATCCTGAGCCTGTACCTGTATCAGTTCTGCACATCTCAAAACACTTGTTACATTCCACAAACACCAATTGCATTTCTTAAGGTGACAAAACAATTAAAGTCTAGTGGTTTTGTGAATAAATCAGCCAGTTGAGATTCAGTGACAACATGCTCGATCACTACCTGTTTTCCTTCCACTAACTCACGGATAAAGTGGTGTCTTATGTCGATGTGCTTGGTCCTTGAGTGTTGTACTGGGTTCTTGGAAATGCTTATAGCACTCTTGTTGTCACAGTACACAAGAAGTGGACCTGAATCCATTCCATAGTCAGCGGACATCTGCTTCATCCACAGTAGTTGGCTACAACAGCTCCCCATGGCAATGTATTCCGCTTCAGCAGTGGAGAGGGACACCGAGTTTTGCTTTTTTCTGAGCCACGAGATGAGGTTGTTTCCGAGAAAGAAACACCCACCA